AGTGGCTCACACCTGTAATCCTGGCACTCTGGGAGGCCAAGGTGGGTGGATTGCTTGAGCTCATGAGTTTGAGACCAGCCTGAGCAAAAGTGAGACTCTATCTCTACTGAAAAGAGAAAAACTGAGGCACAGATTGGGCACAGTGGTTCATGCCTGTAATCCTGGCACTCTGGGATGCCCATGGATTGTCTGAGCTCACAGGTTTGAGACCAGCCTGAGCCAGAGAGAGACCCTGCCTCTAAAAATAGCCTGGTATAGCCTGGTGTTGTGGCAGGCACCTATATACTCTCAGCTACTTGGGAGGCAGAGGCAAGAGAATTTCTTAAGCCCAAGAGTTTGAGGTTGCTGTGTGCTGTGACACCATGGCACTCTACCAAGGGCAACACAGTGAGACTCTGTCTTAAAAAAAAAAGAAAAAGAAAAGAAAAACTGAGGCAAGAGGATCACTTGAACCTGAGTTGGAGGTTGCTGTGAGCTATGACACCACAGCACTCTATATAGGGCAATAGCTTGAGACTCTGTCTCAAAAATAAATAAATAAAAATATTTATAAAAAAAATTTAAAAAAGAAGCAATCATTCTAGCTTATCCTGACCCAACCCACAGTCTAGGCCACTGGGAACTGCAGGTTGCAGACTCCATCTCCACTCTACATGAAGACAGTGTCACCATGAGCTCTATGGTAACAGTAAGAACATGGGTCACAGCCTGGGTTGCCTGTGGAACTTATTAGGCCTCCTTTGTTCTGACAATGAAGTCCTTTCCGTACTTACCCTACACCGATGGTCATGATAGGCCAACACTGCACCAAGACCTAGTAGGGTCCCCATGATTCTCCATCCCTTGGTACCAGAGTTATCACCAGAGAAGTTAAGGCTGAAGTGCTGGGGCTGAAGTGAATCATTTGTAGAGCATGCCTGAATGCAGAGCCTTGAGGGGGTTGACCTGAGGCTGAAAGAGAGAGGAGGGAGTCTTCTTAGTAGCTCATATGGTCATATGAAAGGGCCAGTGAACACCTCGGTTCTACCTCTCCCTGATGGCCGTTGGTTCTTCCACCTGGAACTTAGTTTCTCCAGGGATAGGTGGGATAATTGAGATCTGACTTTCCCTTTCCTACCTGGCCATTCTCTCAACTATCCAGTAGGTAAGATAGACATCATAAAGATACTGAGGGTTGGAGATTGGGGCTAGGAGGCAAGGGGCTTGGAGGGCCTACCTGCAGGCCTGTCGGACCCTGGGGACCACAGCTCTGTGTAGCAGCAATAGCATTGTGGCAGACCTGTAGGAGGAAGATTCTGGAATCAAGATATAAAGACCTTGGGAGGTGATATTAAGAGATGCAAGGGAAAATGACGTGAAGGCTATGTTAACCAGTTTGATGGAAGTGTTTTGGATTGTGTGTGAAAACCTCACACTGTACCCCAGAAGTGCATTAATGTACATAGTTACCATTCAATAAAAAAAAAAAAGAGAGAGATGCAAGGGAATGGATGGAAGACTCAGAGGTGGCCAGCAAGGAACTTTCTGGCCAAGTGGGGAGAATTAAGAGTGGGGGTCCAAATGGGCAGCCCTTAGAGAAAACTTGGAACACTTCAGAGTCAAAGACTGTGCTAATAAGATGGTAGGTGATTGGGGGGTGGGTGGGTGGCAGGCCAGGTGCTTCTAAAATCACCTATCTTCCATCCTCCACTCTACTTTGTCCACCATAGAGAACAATGCTTGGGGCCAAGAGAATAAAAGGAAGAAGCCAGATGTCTCTGTCCAGTTTGCCAGGTTATTATTTCTGAATTTAGCAGAGGACAACTGAGCCTCAGACTGAAACTGGGACAAAAAAGTCAAAAGGGTAGCCTAATTGAGTGAAGAAGCCAGATTCTGGAGGCAAACTCCGTGGGGTTTGTGAAACTAGACCCTGCCATTCATTAACCAGCCCTATTAGCTGGGCAACATACCAAACCTCTCTGAACTTGCATCTTCAGCTTTGAAATGAGATCTACCTAGCAGAGCTGATATGAAGAGTAAGCAAGTACAGTGTGTTTAGGATAAATTCCAAGACCCCCAAGTAGGTGCCTGAAACTATGGATAGTATCAAATTGTATATATACCATGTTTTTCCCTGTACATACCTGGGATAAATTTTAATTCATAAATTATACAGAGTAAGAGATTAACAACAGTAACTAATAATAAAACATAACAAGTATAACATTATACTGTACTAAAAGTTATGTGAATTTGGTAGCTCTCTCAAAATATGTACTGTACTGACTTATTTTCCAAGTGGTTGACCATGTGAAACCGAACTGAGAAAAGCGAAAGCTCAGTAAGAGGGTACTACTGTAGTAACATTGTCTTGAAGGCCTTTCAGTCCCCTCCTTTCCTCCACCCTAAAAAAATAATTGAACCGAGCTGGGAACTGGACCCCTACCAGGGGTCCTCATCTGAATTTTGTCTATGCCATTGTAGTGAATCCAATCAATTGAGGAGTTAATGGCCAATGTCGGGGGATGGGCTGGAAAAGGAGGGTCATTTTTCTGCGCTCTTCTCTGTCACAGTTTTTTACATACAGCACTGGGCTAAGCACTGACCCAGGAGAAGCAAAGTAGCCAAAGAGAGAATGGGTAAGAAGGGTCCTAACTGCTATTGAGATGCTGGAGAACAAATGTGTGGGAGTGGGTGGGTCATGCATAGGGAGGCAGAGAAACTAGCAGGGAGATGAGATTAAGAGCAGAGGCTATATTTTACCCCTGGGCTTTGAGACCCTCACTCTCCCTGCCACCTACCTCAATCTCAGCAGCCTCCTGAAGCAGACTGGAGCCCTGAAGTTAGGGCTGACTCACGGGTTAGCTCAGCCCAGAATCCCAGGGAGGGGCGACCTTTTGCTGCAGTATAGAAATGCCACTAGTTGGTGCAGGTCGTGACCCCTGACTCCCCAAGGCACTTTAGATAGGAGGACATGTCCAGCATCCCGGCACGAGCCGCAGGCCCTATGCTATTGTCTCTGCGGCTGGCACAAGATGGTCTTGTATTAGTACCCCACAACCCAAAGAGCACCCAGGCAGAGGAAATGGAGGTAGGTACTGGTAGTTTTGTTGCCCTTGAGATTTGAAGCGCTGCTGGGTGCCAAATTCCCCTCCGCAGCCTCACCGGGCTTAGCAGACTTTCCTCCTCCTCTTCCCTCTCCGGTCCCCAACCCGTTTACCTGGTTTGACGTCCTCACGAAGCGCGGTTCCACCGACTAGACGTTAGGCCATCGCTCGCGGAGGGCGGGGCCGGCGCCGAGACGCCTGGCGGGGCAGAAGGACCGCTCACTCCCCTCAGCTGGTCCCCGCCATTGGCCCGCGGCGGGCCGCCTCCCAGCTGCGGCGCCCACCCCTTGGAAGCGAGGCAGGCGGGACGCACCGGGCTAGGGCTGAGACTGGCTCTTTCTGCTTTCACTCCTGCAAGACAGCCACTGTGTCGACTACGGCCCCGGCGCGCAAGGCCTGGGACGGTCGCTGACGCTTGGCGCTCGGGCCGTGGAGGGCGAGGACTCCCAAAATTTGCGCCGAGAGGGACTAGACTTTGAGATGCCCCCGGCCCGCCCCTACAGCCTGGGAGGGGGCTAGGAGGCAGAAGGTGTGCCTCCGGAGGCGGCCTCGGGGTCCCGCTGAGCTTCTGCCGTTTTTGACAAGCGTGTGTTGCAAGCAACTAATGTAGCCCTGTTTGTCTTTTGGAGAAAGCTAGTCATTCGCTCCATTATCATATCCAGGCGTGAGGGGAGAAACGAGGCCTCAAATAGTGGTTCCAAGAATTCGCGATTCCATGGACTAGTCGAATCTTTCCTCGAATTAGGGAAACCAACAATACTGAATCTTTTTTAATTTGCGTAGTCGTTAAAAACATCCTCCTTTAGTTTAACACCACAAACTTTATCTTGAAGAAAGGGACACCAACGGGATAAATCTTCTATTACACTTTTCTGTCCCTTGGCGTGGGACTGAAGATTCATCAAACCTACTCCCTGACCGCGGGCCAATGTGTCTACACACTGCCCTCTAGAGACCGGAGGGGTGAGGTACATTTATTTTTCCTTTGGAGACAAGAGTCTCGCTCTGTTGTCAGGTTAGAGATAAGATGGGACTACAGACAGGTACCACCACACCAGGCTTTTTTTTTTTTTTTTCCTTTTAATTTTTACTACAGACGGGCCTCACTCTTGCTTAGGCTGGTCTCGAACTCTAGACTTATAGGGATTTCCCCCCCTCAGCTAGAATGATGGGTGAGCCACCGTGCCTGGCCACTTGAGTTACAATCTTTTTTTTTTTTTTTTTTGAGACAGAGCCTCAAGCTGTCCCCCTGGGTAGAGTGCCATGGCATCACGCTCACAGCAACCTCCAACTCCTGGGCTCAAGCGAGTCTCCTGCCTCAGCCTCCCAAGTAGCTGGGACTACAGGCGTCCGCCACAACGTCCGGCCATTTTTTGGTTGCAGCCATCATTGTTGTTTTGGCGGGCCTGGGCTGGGGATTCAAACTCGCCACCTTAGGTGTATGTGGCTGGCGCCTTAGCCGCTTGAGCCACAGGCGCCGAGCCTTGAGCTACAATCTTAATCAAACTTTTATCAGTTTTAGCGAAAGTTTCATTTTGGAAGATCACTTCCCCTTCCTTTCTGCTCTTCAACTAGAGCTGAGGAGGGAGATTGATTTTGGCTCTAAAAGTGTTTGGAAATGAAAAGGTTTCCAATTTGTGTGTAATTGAATCAGTGGGGAAGACTGATCCTATCATTAAGAAAAAAAAAAAAAGGTTCAGCCCAGGATAGGGAGAAGTCAGTAAGGGGTTGTCTAAAAGCCCCAGGATAAGATTCATTCCTAATACTACTTTTGCCTACTTGTGTGCCACACACATGCTTTACATATTTCACTTTTCGGTTTAAGACACTCTTACTTTGTCACCTTGGAATATGGTGGCACTTCATACTTTCTTAGTATCAATTTTCTTTGGAAGGATAAAGGGGTGTGTCTGTGTTATATACAGGATGTCTATAAAGTTCGGGTGCAATTTAAAATAGTTGTCTATTTATGGACACCCCGTATATACACTTTACTTTTTTATTATTTTTTTTTTTTGAGGGAGAGTCTCACTATGGGCTTAAGTGATTCTCTTGCCTCAGCCTCCCAAGTAGCAGAGACTACAGGCACCCATCATAGCACCTGGCTATTTTTCTGTTGCAGTTGTTACTGTTGCTTAGCTGACCCAGGCTGGGTTTGAACTTACCACCCTCGGTGTATGTGGCTGGCATTGTAACTATTGTGCTACGGGTGCCAAGCCTACACTTTATAATATATAATGGAAAAACCTCTAAGGCTTGTTAAGTTAAAAAAAAGTTATAGAATAAAATGTAGTTGGATCCTAATTCTGTAAAACAAAATAAAATTCAAAAGAAAAGGTATGGAATGGGCAGCACCTGTGGCTTAGTGGGTAGCTCAGTGCTACAGCCCAGCCAAAAATTGCAAAAAAAAAAAAAAAAAAAGAAGAAGAAGACGACGACTAGTCAAGTCTTGTAGTGAATGCTTGTGGTTCCAGCTACTTGAGAGGTTGAGGCAAGAGGATCACTTAAGCCCAAGACTTTGAGGTTGCTATGAGCTATGATGAGGACAGGGCACTCTACCCAGGGTACTGAATTAAAATTAAACAAAACTATTTTTAAAAATATATTCCCTAGCTCGGTGCCTGTGGCCTTATGTGGCTAAGGTGCCAGCCACATACACCTAAGGTGGCAGGTTCGAATCCAGCCCGGCCCACCAAACAACAATGATGGCTACAACCAAAAATTAGCCAGGTGTTGTGACAGGCGCCTGTGGTCCCAGCTACTTGGGAGGCTGAGGCAGGAGACTCGTTTGAGCCCAGGAGTTGGAGGTTGCTGTGAGCTGTTTGAACTCACCACCTCTGGTATATGAGGGCCAGCACCCTACTCCTTGAGCCACAGGCACCGCCCTTGGCTAGTCATCTTTTTCTTTTCTATTTTTAGTAGAGATGTGGTCTCCATTTTGCTCAGGCTGTTCAGTCTTGAACTCCCAAGCTCCGTGCTCAAGCAGTCCACCTGCCTCAGCTTCCCAGAGTGCTAGGATTACAGGTGTTAGCTACCATGGCTGGCCTACATATTTCACTTTTAATCCTCAAATTTTCTTCTTTTTTTGAGACAGATTCTCAAGCTGTCACCCTGGGTAGAGTGCCGTGGCATCACAGCTCACAGCAACTTCAAACTACCAGGCATCCTCAAACTACAGCTCGCGGACCACATGGAGCCCACCAAGGACATTTATCCTGCCTGCTGGGTGTTTTTGCCGCCGCTGCCTGTCCTGATTAGCAGCCGACTTGTCCCAGGGCCTGCAGTCTAGCCCTCTAACAGTCTGAGGGACAGTGAATTGGCCCCCTGTTTAAAAAGTTTGAGGACCCCTGGTAAGTGATTCTCTTGCCTCAGCCTCCCAAGAAGCTGGGACTACAAGTGCCTGCCGCAATACCTGGCTATTTTTTGGTTGCAGTTGTCATTGTTATTTAGCAGGCCCAGGCTGGATTTGAACCTGTCAGCTCCGGTGTACGCAGCTGGCGCCTTAGCTACTGAGCTACAGGCGCCAAGCCAACTTTTCTTCATTTTTTTTTTTTTTTTTTTGAGGGAGAGTCTCACTATGGGC